GGTATACACAAGGCTTTCAATTCACGAGTTTTCAGCGTGCAAAAGATCATTATCACTTCGGCTGGAAAATAAAAAATAGGACATTTTCTCACTGTCGTGACTAAACTTATTAAAAAGTTCCTCTTTTCTCTGGGAACACGTGGCGCGGTTGTTTGTTGATTCTGAAATTGAAATGAAAAAGAAAGGGAAATATAACGAAACGGACCATTGTGTGCAAGGTACGAACAATTTCACGTAAAGTCGTCATAAAAACTATAGTCTGCTCATGAAACAAATCTTTTGGAACAAACTTGTGGAAACACGAACGCAAACCATAAACACCTCTCAAAGGAGGCTTACAAAGTTCGGGAATATTCTAGTAGCGGGTTTTTCTCCCAAGGAAAATAAATCAACGACAGAAAAAATGAGAGACGTATTCAATTCATGTCTCTACAAAACAAGGAGACAAATTTAACGTGAAAAAAATGCTGAGCAGCTTTTTTTTTTTTACTGAATTTATGGTTTTCCCTTCTCTGAACAAAAGCTTTTCAATTTATTGCTCACTTGTTGTTCTTCATAATTTTAAGGGTCATTCATTAAATAAAGAATGATGAAAATCACCTTTTTTTGAAACGCATTACGTAACGTATGCCTCTGCTTTGCCTTAAAAGCGATACGTATAGCTGCCCGTCACCCCCCACCCCCACTGAAAAATTACTGATTTGATTATGAAAATGTAGAAAAATTACCGATGTAAGTTTTTCTCTTGCTTTTCCAGTTTAAAAAAAAAAAAACGAATAGAGGCCAAGATGAAAGAGGAAAGAAAAGTCAAACAAGAAGTGGTCTAAACATTTTTAGTAATAGTAGTTTGTTACGTGAATACACAACGCCATCACTATCAAATATTTTTAGTAAGGTCCTTCAAATAAAAAAAGAAAATGGGTATGGAACAAGAGGAAAAAATTAAAATGAAGTATTGAAATAAAGTAAAATCGAAAAGTTATAAGTCATAATGAATCCTCTTTTCAAGTGAAAACGACAAAATAAGTAGTTTGGCTCACAGCACATGAAATGAATCGTAGAAAGTCGCGGGGTTTTTGCGAGCAGAAGTGTGCATTTCTTCTTACGTTTTTGCCATCGTTTTACTATTTTCTTTTTCTATTTATCTTCTAAATTTTACGTTGTCCGCTCCAAATTTGTGAATGCCTCCAACGTTCAGGCATCTCTTAAGAATGAACTTATCAAACTGTTACGAAAGAATAAGAATCAGAATAAGAATAAAAAATCTGCGAAGAAAGAGTAGTGAACGTATGAAATTAATTTTATCTCTTTTCATCATCTTTTTATAAGGAGGGGTAGCAAGTAGGAATTTTAATCACCTCCAATCTGGCATTTCCAAACTGGCATTTCCAATCAATTATGGTGATTAAAGTAGGTTAATACCCCAAATGTAGTGGCACTACCCCAACTTTAGTTGCGGTGCTACTACATTTAATTAGAAATGCCCATGTCATCCAACAAATCGGGGTACTACCAAAATTTTTAGGGCTAACCCCTACACTTTTTTCTGCGGCAGGATTTCGTTTGGTTTGAAAACCAGGCTTCTTAAGACAAACTTCGCTGAGCGAGATGGTATGTTTTATGTCGAATCTTCGGTTAAGATGTGTTGATAATTAATCCATGCTCCAGTAGGAATCGGTTCGATGTACAACGACAGAAATCACTCACTTGAGGAAGCATAACTTTGATATGTCCAGGTCTAAGTCTGGTGGGATGCACCAAACTTCTACTCCGAAGCTGTCAATGAAAATCCTGCGATTGAGCCTTTGCGAGCCTCTCGTAAAGAGACCTTTTCGTAGCCTTTTCTTTGTAAGCTTCGGATATCATTCCTATACAGTTTCGCGTTGAGTTCCATCAAGTTGAAAACGGTAATCATCCCTACTCACAAGCCGTTCTGAATCTTACGAATGCCGAAACGCGCGGAATGAAAAGATGCACTGAAATAACAACGCAATGCAAAAATACTCCTCAGCAAAACGGTCATGCAATTTTTTATTTTCTTTTTTGGAGGAGGAGGGGGCGCTTCATACGTAGACTTATTTTTTGTTCTCATAAAAGTTAGAATTGGTAAGAATCGCACCAATGAAAATGAATTCTACCAAAAGCTGAGATTTTTCGTAACGAGCGAGACATTTATTCAATGTGTCATCATTGCTCTTGTAAATAACAATAACATAAATGCAATGCAAAAAAAAAACTCCTCAGCAAAATAGTCACGCAATTTTTTATTTTCTTTTTTTGGTGGGGGGTGGGGGCGTACACGCGTAAACATATTTTTTTGTTCTCATAAAAGTTAAAATTGGAAAGAATCGCACTAATCAAAATAAATTCTACCAAAAGCTCAGATTTTTCGTAACGAGCGAGACATTTGTTCAATGTGTCATCATTGCTCATATTGAGGTTTCGTTAATTTAAAGCGTATTGTTGAAAACTGAAGCCCTCTTGCGTGTTATCAGTTGTATACCTGCTTTACCTCACATTTTTACAGTTGAAAAACCTGGCCTTGGCAGGGGGAAAAGGTAACGTGAATCAGATGAAACGAAAAGGGAATAAAAAGAATAAGCGTCGATTGCATAAATTTTGATTAGTAAATGTTTAGACAACCACAGTGTTCTAATGATACAGTTTTTCTCCTGGAACCTTCCGGCGTTTTGATTATTTTTGACGAAGTGATGACAAGTGGCATCATTATTAATGAAACCAAGTGGCGTGGCGTGAAGGATCGATTATCGATATTTCTCCATTTGAAGCTGTAGTAAAGAATCGATTATTTATATCGATATCGATCCTATTCCATATACATTTAAATGGCATATCAATCGATATATCGCAAAGCACGCCACGTCACTGATGAAACTAATGAACATGTGCTCAGAAAAAAATGAGTAAAAATATTCATTCGAATATGTATAGTCCACTAGCTCTAACCGAGTTTTCAAAAACTTCGCTGCTGTTTGGGAAGGTTAATTAACTTTCAACCAGGAAGTTGAACAGTTTATTCGCGCGTCAGCTTTACCTCTGGGAGGCAAATTTTTTGAGCGGACCGGTATACATGAGCAAGCGTAATCATTTGTTCTGGTAGGTACGGGATGGAATGGGTTTACGTCACCCGTGACGTAGACCCTCTCGTGGCTTGTGCGCAGGCAAGAGGTGTAACGAGGAAATTTTTTGTTATTATCTATTTCAAAAATAGTCGGAATGCGAACATTGATAAGCTTTACAGAACTTCATGGAAAATCCTTTCAGGAATGAACCCTTCCATTACGCTCGTATGACCGAAACCGTAACTGGTATGACGCAGACGTTTTGAAAAAAGTGGGAATGATCCCTCCTCCAGTAGGAATTTTATTCATGCTTGAGTCACTTGTCCAAAAAAAAAAAAAAAAAGAGGAAAGTTTCCAAAATATATACATGTTAAGTTCAATGGACGCACTCTGAGGATTTATATATACAAAATAAAACTAAAATAGTTAGTTAGTTAGTCAATTAATTTACGACGATCAGAAACCAGGCAACTTACGCCGGGGACCAGGAAACCTTAAATTTTTAACTTACAATAATATTGATGAAACTTTAAAACTCTTTAAGCAATTTTTAAAAATGTAAGGTAAGGTTTCCTTACTATTTTCCTTACTAATTTTCCTTACTATTGAAAACTCGAATTCCTAAAACTATGCCTTTAGATTTTTTTAACGCTGCATTCTAAAACTATAGATGTCTGGAGTTGCAGAATTGTAGTCGGAACCGCAGTAAAATGAACAGTCGTCAATGTACGTCATGTAGTCGCGAAAAAAATAATGATCAAACATTTTCTTTTCCTGGAAAAGAAAAAAATGTATCTAGTCATCAAGCGCATACCGCCAGGTCTTCCGTATGGTATAGGATTCGTAAATTTTAATTTTTCAGTCCACGAAAAGAGATTTTGATGTAAAATTTATTTTACTCCTCACGATGTAATATTTTCACCTCTTGAAAAGTTCAGCTTATCCTCCTAAATTGTGAGCTTTAGGTATTTCCCGGGATCTCATGATATCAGCTCCAAACGTGCTATCCTGCACGCGAGTTTGACTTTTAATGCTACGTTTCAGTTTTTATGTTTTAAACGAGGATTTATTGCAAATATTTTCTTTTTTCCTACTTTTATCTTATCTGCCTACTTTTTGTCAACCTTTCCTTTTTATCTAACTTTATCAGAATTCATAATTTTTTAATCAAACGTGATCGTAATTTTAATATTCAAGTTTTTTCGGTTTAGTAATAACTCAAGCCGACTTTGACCTCGTTCAAAAACATCCATAGCATGCTTTTGATCCCGGCGCGGCAAATCAAAAATGTCTTCATAGAAATAAAAGCCAATAAGGCAATTTCTGTCTGTATTTTAATTCTGAAAACCGATTCTATGATTTACGGAATTTATTGTTTCTAATCGCACACAATGTTGACTTTTTTAATATTTTTTTTTGTCATTTGACAATTAAAAGCATGAATATATCACTCTCAAGAAACAAAATTATGTCATCGAAAAATTGTATTCAATGGCCATTTTTTGCTTAAACCTTCGCACATTGTTCGAAACGAGGATTCCTTTCATCAATCCGCGCATCTGTATTTGATTTTTTAATGTTTTTGAAAAATGTTTAGTGCAATAAGAACCCGTCAAAGTATGCTCTTTGGGTTTGTAATCACCACCATTCGATCCACCATTTTTCGGTAAAAATGTTAACTTAGTTCAAAGGTAGAACAGCCTGAGAGAATTATTATCAACTGCGGCGATTGCTGCTAAAAAAAAAAAAAGAAAGCCTCCAAATAATCCGTGTTTTTACGATTATGCCTAACACAGGAAGAACATCAAGGCTCATTATTCAAGGTATTTTT